ATTATCACGAGTTAGATCTGCTAATCAATCGTTGAACTGTCCTGTCATGATGTGTCTTATTTAAATATCAACTTAATTTATTTTACAACAATTGCGAAACAAGTTATTTCAACTTATACTAATCACTCTTGCTGACCTGGATGTAAGCGCGAGAGGGGTCTTACTGTGGGAGGAAACCGGAGTACCCGGGGAAAACCCACGTTGTCGGGCATGTGACCCCTTACCTTTTCACGTCCGTTCCGGGTATTGACTAGCTGTCAGTTTGATAAGACTGGATGTACTTCTGCATCAGATTTACACGGACATATCACAGCTTTCAGAAAACGCGCGCTCAACGCATGCACTCACCTCGCCAAAACCGGATGGTCGTACTTCATTAACCTCCCTGATGATATGACTGCATAACTGCCAACTTTGCGATTCAGTCGGGAGTTTCCGAATTTTCACTCCCCATCCCCGCCTCCCGATCGTATGGATCAAAATTGGGGTAATCTCCCGATTTCAGAGATCTCGTTAGGTAGGTCATAAGTAACTTTGCTATATCTGTCAAATTGGTAAGGCTGACCACCTGGACAATGAATCAACGCCTAACTAGCTACGCTTGGGAGCACACCTAATTAATGTCAGGACTCACGAGTAGGCCCTGTTAAATGTATACTTAAGATGAGGTCATTTTACAGAAAATAAAGTCGTTAATATCATGTTTATACTACCTATTCGGTCAAATAACAAATTCAACAAGAAAATGGTTTGTAAAACGATATCAATGATGTAAGAATGTGCAAGCATCCCTCAATCAATACCAATAATTTAACCACATCAGTCCTTAAAAACGATTGTTGGCATCATGAGTGAAAAAAAATGAGATCAAACAAATATTTCACTCGCTGAAAAGTTTACTAAATTTTCAAGCATTTCTGGCTCCCCACAAAGACGTGGTAATAGTTAAACAGGAAGTAGCTACACTAATGCAAAACAGGAACGGATCCGGACAAAATTTCCGGATTTGTATCTGTCTACAGTTATTTTCGAAATAAATATGTCACAGTAAATAAAAAAAATCAAATATGATGGACCATTAGATCAAGATTAAATCATTTTCATGCGATGATTGATATTACTTTGTCCTTATTTCAATAAAACAAATTCTTTCAGGAGCACCATATTTGGATATATACTACTCACAATTTGATAGGGATCACACCTAATAATTAGCAAAATTTTCTTTTAAAATAAGATAATACGTATTTCTTTTATTTGTTGGTTTATATGTATACCGAGGTCTATGTGTATCGGGTGTTTATGTGGTCAGTCACCCGTAACGCCTACACTTCACGTGTACACGCACGAGCCTCCTACGTGCAGATTGGCATCAATACGTTTGTGGCAGAATATCTCGCTTTTTGCTTTACATTTTGAATTTTAATGGTTTCAAAATGCCCCGACAGCAAGCTAGAAGACGTCTAAGCACTTCAGATATGGATATGGGCATTGGTATGATCCAGTCTGGTAGGTCACAAAGGGAGGTGGCCAATGACCTTGGTGTGTCCCAGAGTGTTGTGTCCCGTATGTGGAATCGTTACCAAAATTATGGAACTGTCTCTAGAAGACATGGTGGGGGTCGGGAACGACTTACCTCGCAGCGTCAAGACCGCTATCTTGTTATTGCAGCTCGACGTCAAAGCTTCATCAACGCTACGTCACTACGTAATGACTTCCAGAATGCCACCGGAACTCGTATCTCCACACAAACTGTGAGAAATAGACTTCATGATGCTGGTTTAAGGTCGCGCAGACCTGCTGTTAGAATTCCTTTGACGTTACGACATGTTCAAGGTAGACTTGCTTGGGTTCGTGATCATGTGAATTGGAACCTTCATGACTGGTCCCCCGTACTTTTTACAGACGGGTCTAGATTCTGCTTCGATTTCACTGACCGACGTGCCAGGGTGTGGCGACTACCAAATGAGAGGTTCCATGCCGCTAACGTTTCCCAACATGACCGATACGGTGGTGGATCTGTTATGGTTTGGGTTGGCATTAGTATGCAAGACTGACCTTCGTGTGTTCCTTAATGGCAGTTTGACTGCACAGAGGTACTGTGACGAAGTCCTGGATGTGTACGTCAGGCCTTATGCTGGTGCTATAGGTCCGGAATTCATTCTTATGGACGATAATGCGCGACCACACAGAGCTCGTGCGACTGAACAGTATCTGGAAAGGGAAACAATTGAGAGGATAGACTGGCCAGTCCGATCTCCAGATCTCAATCCTATAGAACACGTGAGGGACATGCTTCAGAACGCTGTTTCGGCGAGAAACATCCAACCTAGAACGCTTCAGGAACTTCAAGCAGCTCTCGTCGCTGAACGGACAAGTATTCCCCAAAACCGGATACGAGACTTGATCAGAAGCATGCGCCGCCGCTGCCAGAGCGTAATTGATCCTCGAGGACGTTATACTCGATACTAACACTGTATTTTTCGCTGAACGACACTGTTTCGTAGGACCTAATTTTTCGCCCCTTTTGTCGTAATTTGCGATTTTCTTGGTATCTGTGTACAATGAGCATTGAAGCAAATTAATACTGTTATTCTTCGCTTGGTGTTGTTAAATCTTCATCTTATAATGCCGAAATATTCTTAAAATAGATAACGTTACACATTAATTAAGAAAGTGATCCCTATCAAATTGTGAGTAGTATATATATATCCTTATTAACAACCAAACAGATAATCACCCATTTTTATATCTGTTATACTGTGTGAGTTCGATGAATCCTGAGAATTTAAGTGAATATCTTCCAACTTGAACCTTGCTTCCGAAAAAAGCAGATATTTTTCATTGTTAAAGTAAAAGCATGCACTTTATCAATTTAAAGTCATCTGGAAGTATGGATTAAATAAACACCCACGGTCCAATACATGTATATGGACAGTGGTTCGGGAATTCGTTCCAAATGTCTGATATAAACAAGACAAGCATTCCCTACTGGACCTAGCTAGCATTCCTAATGGATAACCGAATAAGGCAAAAAAAAAAAAAAACTTATATGGTCTGAAAAACCAAATCAAACGTGGAGGAGAAAGGTATATGTAAGAGAAAATTCGGACATTGCTCCATTGATGGTGAAAGTGATCGTAACAATGGAGAATTGAGGATGTTAACCGCATAACTACTTTGTTCTCATGCTCTGAAAACCGTTATAATTTTATCCCGGACATCTCGTCACAAATTTGATGGCTTTTGACAAATTTGAATATCATTTTTTTGTTTACAGATAATACATTACTAGGCATGGTTACAGAAACCGTACAACTACTCAAGGCCCTAACGACCATTGATCATAAAAGGACAATTAGGTCACTTAAAACAAACATACAAAATCAACATTGTATAATTTAATTTATTTGAATATGGAAGTTACTTTCCAGTTATTACATAAAAATCAAAAGTCACGCCACAATATATATATATATATAGTACCACTATACATGAATTATGTAAATATATATATATATACACATCTGTCTAATTTACTATCTATGACTGAAAATTGAAATCTTATGTAGTTTTATTCACCTAATATCAAATGATGTTTTCAGAAACATGTACTGGATCAGTTCATCTTTAAGGGAAAAATAGAAACAATTTATCCTAGCAAATAAAGACACCATTATTGTTATGAATCATATTTCGGGGAAACATACCAATTAACAATAGGGCAATGTTGTTTCACTCAAATCTGGTTTCCAAAAGAAAAAAAAAGATAATGATAATAATAAAAATAATAAAATAAAAATAAATAAGGATTATTTGTACATAATTAAGATATATCCATTTTACATCTGGTAACAAACAGGAGAGACAATAAAACTACACTGTTTTGTGATATTTTGAGAAAAAAAATCTGAGTTATCTCCCTTCAGATAAACAATCCATGATTAGATCAAAAATTTATATACACATATACTGTATATTATGAAAAATCTGTGACGTTCTACCCTTTCCGACTACATGGAGTTAATATTGATAGTTTTGAGCTTCAAATTTTTAACATTATAAAAATAGCATTTCTGTCAATGAAGTCTATGAAAATGTATATTTACAATGAAAAGAACTTCTGTATAAAATCTGTGACAAGACTTTGCTGACAGTCACTAACAAATAGATTCTGTTTAACGCAATGTACAATGAAGTGTTACAATAAATACAAAAACAAAGACATCCTCTTAAAAATCAAAACTTCCAATTGAACATTCAAATCAACAAAACTCAGATGAAAAAAAAAATTGTTCAAACCAATAAATTCACAAGAAATATCACAGTCATTGGCTCCCTAAACTTACTACAGTAGTGGGAACTTATCTCCTTAGTGGACGGAATACACAAATAAACATGTTTCAAGTTGATATCTCATTCTATCAGCAGAAACTTCTCTTTACTCCGACAATCATACAAAACACATTTTGTCTTGGACATTGTATTAACACATGGGTGTGCGACACATATTTGTAAATATTTTTTGTCTGACCTTGATAATAGCACACAAGTATAGATGGGGATTCATGTCATTTTTGAAATACTGAAACCTTATTCACACTCATCATATACAATATGTCATTAGGTTTATATTTATCAAAATGGAAGCATGAATATTTGTGACACTGTTACATCTATTTACTAATAAACGGCACTTTAATGAGCCCACAGGGTGTTCTTGACCCTGTTTTTACTTTCTTTTTCAGGTTCCAAAACCCTCTTTTTTCAGAGCTGGATATTTAGTAGTTGTCAATTGCATGAACAGAATCTGTGCAAAACTGAAAATTCAGCATAACAAAGATGTTTTGAAAAAGGTGAAAAATGTGTCAATCTTAAGTTTGACAATGTTCATGGCAGCTCTGAGGTGTTCAGGTTGACAGGTGTGGCTGACACATAGGTTGAAAAAAAACCCAAGTACAGCTGAAAATTCAACCTGAATTATGACTCAGAAGCCGTTGAAAACATTTGAAAATATATCCCCGTGCATTGGATTATGTGATATGTTCTACATGAAATACACCATATACCTGCATCTGATTAAAATTATAAATTATATACATATACACAATTAAGTATCACAGACATTAATGCAGAAATAATATATTTATGTACAATTTTCAACAAAAAAAAAGTTTTACGTTGAGTTACCTCCCTTGATGAGACACACTTGCTTTATCCACCTATATATATCAGTTCTGTTGCATCACAAGTGCGTCACAGTATATATTACATAGTAAGTTAAGAAGTCTGGCCTTTTCAACATGATTGTAATATAAAAATGAAAGTTGGTTACAAATTATGTATGTAATGTTACAACACAGGAGACCAAACTAACTGAACAGAAAAAAGACTTATGAGATGACATCTAGGGGGCCATCTTCTAAAAAAGAAAATACAACTGAACAAATGTAACACAATTATATCTCATTGTAAGTAAACAGTTTGCATAGCCGTGTCATACTATTATTAAATGAGGCTTACACGCAGGTCCTATATTTATATTTCATGAACATCACTACGATAAATTTGGCACTAACTAATACAAAGATAAATCTATAAAAAATAATTGAATAACAGATTAAACTATTACCTATTGTCTCAGTGAAAACTGATTGATGTTTGATCCTTACATATCCTATAACAAACTCTTTACTCTTAATTAAGTTACAGAAAATCAATTAGTTATCAAAACGTGCTATATTTCAACCACGAAAGTTGGATTTTCGTGAAGTTTGATGCACTTGAAATATTTCTTTTCTGATTCATCAAGTTAGTTTCCCACAAACTCAATTATACATGCACACTTCTATTTTTTCCTCGATTTCTTACTATTTTGGAAAAACATTGATTGTCTTGCTTTATAATCATTTATTTCAAAGTAATTTTGATTTAAGCAGATTTTGTTTTAATATTTGAATACTGTTTGTTTCTTAATTGTTTACTTAATTGTAAGTATCACAACTTTGATCTTTCACAAAAGCCATTACAATTTTAAACAACTCTGATCTCTGACTGGTAAAGTTGGTACCAATATAGATAAAACCACAGATCTTAAGAATATCAACATGACTTTGTAAATATTTCATGGTGAAATGTCTGATTTATTAGAAGGAAACCTATATGATTGCATGCATGAACACATACTTAGGTACAAATTTACAAATCATCTTTTTATTTTACAAAATTGTTTCTTTCCAGATATTTTTTTTAACTCCGAGTATTGTAAAATGACATTTTCAGGGCTATATTTTGACTTCTCATAAATGTACCCTAAATTGTGTTAATCTAGAAATTCCAAATCAACACTGCTCTAGATATTCTAAAACATAACACATGTGGACTCAAGCTCTGTAATCAATATCATAAAACGATATTGTCTTTAACAATTTCAATGACTACATACGGTCAGCTCTGAAGCAGATTCCTGTCGTGGTAAACTATAACACTTCACTAAATAAAATGCAATTAAAATAATTTTTACACAAACAAGACATCACGACTAAGATTAATAACACTTACCAAACATAGAACATTTTCGTGTTTATGGCTATAAGTACGAATACTTATCAGAAAATTTTATCAGCGCCAGCTATGCGACAATTCTATCAGATACGTAACGCATATTCAAGGTAACAAGGTTTAGCGCTTTTCATATTTATGTACACAACCTTTTTGCGATGCTTTCAAAATCATCATTTTATTTATTAAAAATAGGACGAATTCATAAAGGATTAAAAAAACACCACTTTTTAACAGATAATTCATTAGACATATATAATCACAGGGCTGATTGTTCTCAAATGCCTGGTAGATCTAATAAATGTGTACAGCAAATGAACTTGGTGACGTACAGTTACAACGTCACAGAAACTTGTAACTCTAACTGCTTACATCACAGAAAATGCCTTAATAAAGAGTCATACTTCACAGAAATTTTTTATCTTCCCGAGTGTCACACCTTCTGTGGAATATTTTGTTGAATCATTGCTACATTTTGTTTTTCCTCCTCATGACGTCGCTGTAGTTTCTTGAGATCCACAACTTCGACTGGTTTTTGAGTCCTCACAGGCGACTGGGTTTCTTTCTTATTCAATGGAGACAATTGAGACGAGACTTCATATGAATTGTACTGAGAGGGTTTAGCTTTTACCACTGGTTTCGGAACATTTTTGGCATACTCTAGAGCCTGTTGATGGAAAGGAAAAAAGTTACAAGTTTCAACAGTGAAAAACTATTTATAACTTTACTGATTTGTCTTACAGAAAAAGATTTAAAATGTCAAATATTTCAGATTATAATAACAATCTTTCTAAAAATGAATTTAATTACAATCACGTATAAAAAAAAACAAAAACTGATTCTAGGTTATCAATTACACTTAATACTTAAATGACAAATTCTGCATGAAAAATTAATAAATTTTGCTGTTTGGACAATATAAAATAAAAAGAGTTTGTGAGCAGTTGCATGCAAGTAAACTAATATTAGTACATGAAGTACTACCTTTCTGAGTTACTGCATAGGAATTTCTTATTTATGTAACTTCGGAACTAAATATGTTTCACACAATATGATCTGGGTATCTTGTTGGACATTTTGCAGAAAAGACAATTTCAAAATTCTGCTACTACCTCTAATAACTGATACTATGATAAACAGATGATGTAAACCAAAACTGATACAACAATATCATATACTAGCATAATATCTATTTATTACATGTACTGTAAAGGTTTCCAAACATGTATTTTTTTAAAGAGAAAATGTTAAAAGGGCCCTATTATTGAAATTGTTAATGTCTACTCAAAACATTTCAATATTTCTACAACTGTAAGTGATCAAAAGGAAAGATTTCATTTCTCAAAAGTTTTCATACATTCATTAAACTTTATTTGCATATATCAATAACATAATATTATCTGTTGTGTGACCTGTCCCTGAATCATACATATAAAACTCTCATTGGTTAATCAATCTAGCAACTCAACCTTCAACCAAACATATCCCTGTATTACAACCCTCAACCAAACATATCCCTGTATTACAACTCTCCACCAAACATGTCCCTGTATTACAACTCTCCACCAAACATGTCCCTGTATTACACCAAACATGTCCCTGTATTACACCAAACATGTCCCTGTATTACAACTCTCCACCAAACATGTCCCTGTATTACAACTCTCCACCAAACATATCCCTGTATTACACCAAACATGTCCCTGTATTACAACTCTCCACCAAACATGTCCCTGTATTACACAAAACATGTCCCTGTATTACAACTATCCACCAAACATGTCCCTGTATTACAACTCTCCACCAAACATGTCCCTGTATTACACCAAACATGTCCCTGTATTACACCAAACATCTCCCTGTATTACACCAAACACGTCCCTGTATTACAACCCTCAACCAAACATGTCCCTGTATTACAACTCTCCACCAAACATGTCCCTGTATTACAACTCTCCACCAAACATATCCCTGTATTACACCAAACATGTCCCTGTATTACAACTCTCCACCAAACATATCCCTGTATTACACCAAACATGTCCCTGTATTACAACTATCCACCAAACATGTCCCTGTATTACACAAAACATGTCCCTGTATTACAACTATCCACCAAACATGTCCCTGTATTACAACTCTCCACCAAACATGTCCCTGTATTACAACATGTCCCTCCACATGTCAAACATGTCCCACCAAACATGTATGTATTACAACTCTCCAACATGTCCCTGTATTACACCAAACATGTCCCTTGTATTACACCAAACATGTCCCTGTATTACACCCAACATGTCCCTGTATTACACCAAACATGTCCCTGTATTACAACTCTCCACCAAACATATCCCTGTATTACACCAAACATGTCCCTGTATTACACCAAACATGTCCCTGTATTACACCAAATATGTCCCTGTATTACACCAAACATGTCCCTGTATTACACCAAACATGTCCCTGTATTACACCAAACATGTCCCTGTATTACCACCCAAACATGTCCCTGTATTACACCCAACATCTCCCTGTCCCAAACATGTCCTTTATAACATCTATCCACCAAACATATCCCTGTATTACACCAAACATGTCCCTGTATTACACCAAACATGTCCCTGTATTACAAAACATGTCCCACCAAACATGTCCCTGTACACCATTACACCCAACATGTCCCTGTAACATGTCCCTGTATTACACCAAACATGTCCCTGTATTACACCATGTCCCTGTATTACATTACACTATGTCCCTGTAAACATGTCCTTGTATTACACCAAACATATCCTTGTATTACACCAAACATGTCCCTGTATTACACCAAACATGTCCCTGTGTTACACCAAACATGTCCCTGTATTACACCAAACATGTCCCTGTATTACACCAAACATGTCCCTGTATTACACCAAACATGTCCCTGTATTACACCAAACATGTCCCTGTATTACACCAAACATGTCCCTGTATTACACCAAACATGCCCCTGTATTACACCAAACATGTCCCTGTATTACACCAAACATGTCCCTGTATTACACATGTCCCTGTATTACAAACATGTCCCTGTATTACACCAAACATGTCCCTGTATTACAACTCACCAAAACATATCCCTGTATTACACTCTCCACCTAAACATGTCCCTGTATTACACCAAACATGTCCCTGTATTACACCCAACATGTCCCTGTATTACACCAAACATGTCCCTGTATTACACCAAATATGTCCCTGTATTACACCAAACATGTCCCTGTATTACACCAAACATGTCCCTGTATTACACCAAACATGTCCCTGTATTACAACTCTCCACCAAACATGTCCTTGTATTACACCAAACATGTCCCTTGTATTACACCAAACATGTCCCTGTATTACACCAAACATGTCCCTGTATTACACCAAACATGTCCCTGTATTACACCCAACATGTCCCTGTATTACACCAAACAAATTACATCCCACCAAACATGTATTACACCAAACATGTCCCTGTATTACACTGTCCCTGTATTAACATGTCCCTGTATTACACCAAAACATGTCCCACCAAACATGTCCCTGTATTACACCAAACATGTCCCTGTATTACACCAAACATGTCCCTGTATTACACCCAACATGTCCCTGTATTACACCAAACATGTCCCTGTATTACAACTCTCCACCAAACATGTCCTTGTATTACACCAAACATGTCCCTGTATTACACCAAACATGTCCCTGTATTACACCAAACATGTCCCTGTATTACACCAAACATGTCCCTGTATTACAACTCTCCACCAAACATATCCCTGTATTACACCAAACATGTCCCTGTATTACACCAAACATGTCCCTGTATTACACCAAACATGTCCCTGTATTACACCAAACATGTCCCTGTATTACAACTCTCCACCAAACATGTCCTTGTATTACACCAAACATATCCCTGTATTACACCAAACATGTCCATGTATTACACCAAACATGTCCATGTATTACACCAAACATGTCCCTGTATTACACCAAACATGTCCCTGTATTACACCAAATATGTCCCTGTATTACACCAAACATGTCCCTGTATTACACCAAACATGTCCCTGTATTACACCAAACATGTCCCTGTATTACACCAAACATGTCCCTGTATTACAACTCTCCACCAATCTACCAAACCACCAAAAAATGTATGTAGACTTTCCAATGGATGAACTATGTATGATAAGACAACCATTATTATTATTAAGCAAAGTGCCTTGATCATGATTAATTGAAATTAACTGAAAAAATAGATATAAGGAAAAATCCTTGGAAAGTAACATTCCAAAACATGTACACAAACCAACACAACAACAGTTAAATTTGTGTACACAACAACGATAACATTGTGTACACAACAACAGTTAAATTTGTGTACACAACAACAATAACATTGTGTACACAACAACAATAACATTGTGTACACAACAACAATAACATTGTGTACACAACAACAGTTAAATTTGTGTACACAACAACAATAACATTGTGTACACAACAACAATAACATTGTGCCGAAGATAGTCTCCCAAAAACAAAAGTGAGTCACCATAGCTCTCAACTTGAAAAGTGTAAGTTGCTGCTATATTCTTCTGGTAGTTAATGTGTTTCCTTATTTGTATCAAATGTGCCACTTAATATGATGTCAAGTAAGCAACGAAGAAAGTTAGTAAAAGAAGTCTCATGTGTTTTAGCCTGCTCTATAAAAAATGTTCACACTTTTCTGACAGAGAATATCCTCTAAATTTCCTAGGATGGCCTGCTCTCAGTCATGATTTTGATACAATAGATGATGTTTTGTTATAGTTGATCGGTACTTTGAGACTGAGGTTTGAGCTTGTGCAATACTGAAAACTGAATCACAGGTTATTTGAGAAAATGTTTGTACATCTGACTGTATAGCTCCCCAAAGCAACATACAAGGATGTCATTATCAGGAAGAGAAAATATTACTAAGTAGAGAGGACATTTTGACAGTGAGTGAATGAATTGATCATGTTAGCATTTTGTGTTTAGGTCAAGATAATTTTATTTTGTGTTGATTTTTATCGGAACATGCTACCAGCACAGCACGATATGTGATCATTTCTCAAATATTTCTGTTAGGTTTTTGACAATTGAATAGTAGTAATAAAACTGAACATACCACTTTCTTCTCAAAGTTTGTAGGAAAACAATCATGATAAAAAATTGTTAAGGCTCTCATACTTTGGCTAGATATATCACAACTAGCGATTGGTAACAATTTCTCTATCAACTTGCTTAGATACAAATCAAAAGGTACCATCAGACATCAAAAACTCACGAAATTTTGTGTTAGTCGCCAACCTGTTCTCGTTAAAGTACCAGTGCTTTAGGGAAATGTCAATCAATTTGCAGATAACTTACCATTTTTCCAAGAAAGTTTTGACACAAAATATTTTCTTCCCAGAAAAATTTGCATGCTGTAATAATGCAATCTTACCAAAAAAACAGAACTAAGCGATCCTTGATGAGAACAGATTGGCGAACAGTGTAGCACACGATGATAATAAAAACACCCAAAATGTAAGGTTTGGAAAATAAATTCCCTGATCTTTGTGAACACTTTCAAACTGATCACACAAACTGTCATGCAGTAATTCCAAAACTATGATATACCAGAGCTGTATGAACATGCAAACAAGTTAATAACACCACAAAACTCCTGTTGAGGACAACAAGACATATTTCTGTCGTAAACAAAACAGCTGATTAGGAAAACAGACATAGCTGAACATTAACATCCAAAAACTCATTAATTAACCAAGAATCACAACAACACAACTCAAACAGTGGACAGGTCACACCTGACTTACTAGTTTACGTCTATTAGCCTCGCCCCGGGGCCGTGTCTTGGCCAAACGCCCAGGGGCAGAGGTTGAGTTGAGGGCTTGATGTATGTGTTTGCTCTGTGCGTCAGACATAGGCGTGTCTGGGTAACTGTTATACACCAGAGACTGACTTACTGCACGCCGTTTGTTTTCCTCCCGTTGATCAACTGAAGGCTGGCGCCGTTGGGCAGGTTTACGATCAAGCAACTCCTGTCGGTTCCGCTCCATCACCAATCGTGCATATTCATTCTGTTTAAATTTTTTTTCGTGCTGCCCACAAAGACAAAGAAATTAAATTAAATAATTAATTTATCAAGGATAATCTTTCTTTATTTTACAACTATTGAAAAACAAGGTTTAGCAACTTATACCAATTGTTCTTGTAGGCTTGAATGTATATGAGGGGTCTTAGTGTGGCAGGAAACACAAGTCCCAAGCAAGAAAAACCCACGTGGTTAGGCAGATAAACCTCTATATTTTCACGTCTGTTCCAGGAATCGAATCCCGGGCAGCTAGGTGAAAGGCCTATGTCTTACCACTCTACCACCCGACCACCCTTTATATATCCCTTAGATGGTATTTATTCTGCGTTAACACAATATGGCTGACATTCTACCAGTGACTTCTTATTTTCACTACATATAGGTGGTCTCAGAATACAATGCACTAGACAAATGTAGCCAAATCAATACAAAAGCTCACATATCTTTCAGGACAAGTAAAAACCAGTAAACCTATAAAAAGTCATTCAGCAAGCTCTTAAGATTGAAAGACCTTCGACATCTCTTGTAGAATTATTTCGATCATGAACACTTCGAAAAATATCTCTAAGATTCCCTATTTCAGAAAGGCCAGCATTATTCTATAATACATGAAATCATAAACAATTTCTTTTTCTGTTCATGCAGTCGATTTCATCACCACTGTTGTCACTGACAGTTACATGCTAATATAGGTTCTTAAATGTACAAACCTTCTCTTTTAGCGTTTCATTTTCCCAGTCTGGACCTAGAGGCGCTCGGTTAACTTCAAACTCCTTTTTCAGTCTTTTGTAGTCACTGAGTGTATACACCTGGTACCATGGTGGTTCATTGGGATCTTTCTGTAGATTCTTCTGATGAATTGCTGCGTACCCCTGAAGTTCTACACGGATAGGACTGGCCTGGAAACGGTCGTCTGTCCCTGCGGATATCGGTGGAATTTTAGGATATGGGTTCGGAGAACGATTCTTTAACTCTGTCTCATATGATGGTTGTTTGTCATAACCTTGCTGCTGTGGTTCGTACAAGGGATGTGACTGTTGGTCGTAGGATGGATAGCGCTGGTAAGAAGAACTCTGGTTATGTGGGACAGGAGGCTCCGGAGGTGGGGGTGGCTGTGTTTGATAAGCCTGTTGAGGTTGTTGTGTTTGCTGGGGTTTCTGTTGGTAGGGGGGAGACCCCTGGGGTTGGTACTGGGGCTCATAATTCTGGTTTGTCTGAGGTGGTAACTGGCTTTCTTGGTCTGGGGCCTGGCTGTAGTCAAAATTGTACTGCTCTGGGGGTGGAAGTCCAGGTGGGGGTCCAGAAGGGAGGCCAGGTGGGGGTCCTGGAGGAGGCTGAAGATAAACAAATCTTTTGATAAAAAGGTGGATAATTAATTCATTTCCACTTTATAATTCTAAGTAACTTAGAACAATATTTAAAAGCTCTACAGTACATGTATCTTCCTTTTCTTTTTCAAAATTACACATCAGATATTGGAAACAATTTACATAGATTTATAAATAGGAATTTATCTCAGATAAATTAGCACTACAACTCAGTGATGTAATATTAAAACGGTTTACTAAAACATTTATCCAGTAACATCAAGAACAGGCAGGAGAGAAACACAATCATCAAACTAGTTTGCAATGAACCTGTACTATAAGGTTAATTGAGTGAGAATTCCAACAGAAATTGGTCTCATAACAACATCAGTCTATACTACATGGTAGAAAATTTGATTATTTAATTAATATCATCTAAAAAAACACTTCAGTTTAAGACGGAGCTATTTATCAATTACTTTAAGAGTTTTAGGTTCACCCTAAGGATATACAGTGCATAACCAATGACCTTTTTTTAACCTAAAGATTAATGTACAGTGCTTGACCTCTGAACTTACTAACCTTTTGTGATAACTATACTGTGCTTGACCTCTGAACTTATTAACCTAAGGATAATTATACAGCGCTTGACCTCTTAACTAACTAACCTTTTGTGATAATTATACAGTGCTTGACCTCTGAACTAACTAACCTTGTGTGATATTTATACAGTGCTTGACCTCTGAACTAACTAACCCAGGGATAACCATACAATGCTTGACCTTTGAACTTACTAACCTAGGGATAACTGTACAGTGCTGTTGATAAAGCTATAACTTATATGGAAATAGTTTTGTTTGATTAAACATGTTTAAACAACAGGTGTATGTATGTGAATTGCAGGTTAACAGATCCAGATTGTTGTTAAACCAAATACAGGTACAAAATGATACAGTATAATTGCATAACGTTTCAAAGGAGCCTGTGTACTATATTTCGAATGATTATCTATCCACCGTTAGACCTGTTTACTACACTGTTCACCTAGAGAGGATTAAATATCTTAAGATTGATCAAATTCTGATAAATATTTATCTTAATCACATACCATACCTATACTGTGTATTAATTTAGAATCGGTCAGAGGCCACCATGTTTGGCATCAGACCAGGTGATCACCATAGTCTAAAGTGTACAAAGAATTCTCAGCTTAAAATTTCATTCTAAACATTTTTTTTAAAATATGACTGTAGTGCACGAAGTATATCCTTTTAACAGTCTCTTTAGACACATTTTACTGTAAGTACAAAATCCAGCAATTTGTAAAAGCTCTTGTGTTTATTGAAATACATAGGAATATATTAATACTATAGGTGGTTTGCTCAGGCAGTGTCAAGTGTTCACTATTGGGGCGTAACAGTAGATCTCTGATAAACAGCTAAAATTACATGAAGATTAGAAATTTACAAATCGTAGTGTTCAATAATTAGTGGATTAGTGTACGGTTACGTGCTGAAATACGCCCATTTAGGAGTCCGACACAAAACAATTTTGTCAAAGTCAAGGGTTTGGACTCCTTACATGGTAATGAAACAACATGTTTTGGTTATTCTACAGAACAGCGATATTTATGGGTAGGCGTATTAAGAGTTATGGACTTACTGTCAGAATATTTACAATATTTTGTATACTTCTGTACATTACTAATGATACAAAAAGTTTCCTTCACATCTGGCCACTACATACTGTAAACTCATAACATACTATATTTTTATCTTTTCCCAGGGTTTAACTTTCATGGTTTTCAAAAATGTCGGATATGGAACATTCAATTTTGCTATGAGATATTTTAGGGCTGGAGAGAGAAAGTGATTGTAACCTCTGGAGTATCGAGGATGGTTCAGGGAGTGGAGAGAGAGAAAGTGATCTTAACCTCTGGAGTATCGAGGATGGTTCAGGGAGTGGAGAGAGAGAAAGTGATTGTAACCTCTGGAGTATCGAGGATGGTTCAGGGAGTGGAGAGAGAGAAAGTGATTGTAACCTCTGGAGTATCGAGGATGGTTCAGGGAGTGGAGAGAGAGAAAGTGATTGTAACCTCTGGAGTATCGAGGATGGTTCAGGGAGTGGAGAGAGAGAAAGTGATTGTAACCTCTGGAGTATCGAGGATGGTTCAGGGAGTGGAGAGAGAGAAAGTGATCTTAACCTCTGGAGTATCGAGGATGGTTCAGGGAGTGGAGAGAGAGAAAGTGATTGTAACCTCTGGAGTATCGAGGATGCCATTAACCATCCTTAAGATATCTTGAAAATAATTATTAACAGCAGAATTATCGTTTAAATGTATATTCAGTGGCAAATTGTTGACCCTACATGACCTGGGTTGCCTGGTCACAGCACCCAAAACTGGTCACATGTTGATTTTTCAAATTTAATTAGCTTTTTGCTTAGCCATTTATCTGATTCTGTTTAACATAATGTTGAACCTCTGGCTTATAATTTACAAATATTGAAAAGTGTAGCCTATTTGTTATTTTGTTCAACAGCTGACACTGATTGTGAAGATATCTATTAAAATATATATGTTGACTATGAAAACGTCTCTTGTTTCTTGTAAAAAAGATTAAATAGTAGTAAGTTTGTATGCATAAGTATACACAGCTGGCAGAGATCTGTAGACAATTAAGTATATATTACCAAAACTTTAGCACCAACAACCAAAATCTAGCTTTAACATTAATATATGCAGATAAAAAAAATTGCTTCTTCAAATCAAATATGAATATTTTATGGAATAAAAGAAACTCAGTATATAAAACCTTTTGAAATTTATGATAAAACTATTCTAAAAGAAATGTCTGTTTGCTTAATTTACACAGATCTTGATGACAAAGCTGCTGTCATTTTACTGTACCAATATACCACATCCAATATACCGCAGTGTGACAGAACTTGGAGTCTAGCCAATGTACATTCAAATCGACAGGATCAACATTGGGGGGAGTTTTTAAACAGCAGAATAACAAAATGTAAATATTCATCTCCAATACTCCAAGATTAGAATTACAAGCCCCTAGTGAATATGCATACTGGTATCCAGTATTGTACAGTCGACTGTCTTGATGAAAAAATACACTAATAAAGTGGTAAGGACAACATTATACTCAATCACTTTTTGTCAGTCTTTTTCATCAACACATAATACAAATGTAAACTGACAGATTTTTTTAAAATCTTTTAACATTCTTTCATATCATGAGTACAGTATACATTATTTTATCAATATCTTACTGAGGTCACACAATGATAACTCAGTTCACTTTTTAAAGGTACCATACTATAATAAATATTAACATGTTTATCAATTCATTTTATCCCAGCGTAGCTGTAAATGGCTTTAATATCAAATAGGCAGTATTGCCTTCATTTCGATTTGGTCACCAATGAAAACAATCATCAGTATCTACAACATGTAAATACATGATGTATCTACAATGCATATAGAACTAAAACACATTTTAATCTGTATTATCTGAAAGTTTTGTATTTAAATTGTCAACATCTTAATTTCTAAGTATTTTATACGTTCCTGTGTCACTCTGATGTTCCCAAAAAAGATTTCATCAGAGTGTACTACCATCTAGAATTCTATAGACCTGAAATTGTTATCGTGAGGCTGAAATGTTTGCAGTCTAGCTCTTTGTGGATAGACTGAAATGTTCTTGGACTATGTCTGTGTATGTTCTTGATCTTGGTATGTGTTGATATACTGAAATGTTTTGGTCTTGTTTTGACACACTGCAGTGTTTTTGGTCTTGGTTTGACACACTGAAGTGTTTTTGGTCTTGTTTTGACACATTGCAGTGTTTTTGGTCTTGGTTTGACACACTGAAGTGTTTTTGGTCTTGGTTTGACACACTGAAATGTTTTGGTCTTGTTTTGACACACTGAAATGTTTTTGGTCTTGGTTTGACACACTGCAGTGTTTTTGGTCTTGTTTTGACACACTGAAGTGTTTTTGGTCTTGGTTTGACACACTGAAGTGTTTTGGTCTTGGTTTGACACACTGAAATGTTTTTGGTCTTGTTTTGACACACTGCAGTGTTTTTGGTCTTGTTTTGATAAACTGAAATGTTTTTGGTCTTGGTTTGACACACTGAAGTGTTTTTGGTCTTGGTTTGATACACTGAAATGTTTTTGGTCTTGGTTTGACACACTGAAATGTTTTGGTCTTGGTTTGACACACTGAAGTGTTTTTGGTCTTGGTTTGACACACTGAAATGTTTTGGTCTTGTTTTGACACACTGAAATGTTTTTGGTCTTGGTTTGACACACTGAAGTGTTTTTGGTCTTGGTTTGACACACTGAAATGTTTTGGTCTTGGTTTGACACTCGAAGTGTTTTTGGTCTTGGTTTGACACACTAAAGTGTTTTTGGTCTTGGTTTGACACACTGAAATGTTTTGGTCTTGTTTTGACACACTGAAATGTTTTTGGTCTTGGTTTGACACACTGAAGTGTTTTTGGTCTTGGTTTGACACACTGAAATGTTTTTGGTCTTGTTTTGACAGACTGGAATGTTTTTGGTCCCAGTATATATATTGATAATACTCAAGTACATACAGAGTGTGATATTTCTGTGTATAACATGTTTGAATTATACCTGTGTATTCTTAGACCTTGACTGGTAATGGTCAAATAACGTCAAACTGGACACTCAAGCTTTAAACAGGGCTGTAAGTGACTAATTCATAAAACATAGATTTTCATGTTGATACTGAACTTCACGTTTAAAGACCTGACAATACCTTTGAATGTAATCCCCACACAAACACTATTAATCTTACACAGAGCCATGCCTGGGAGAAAAAGCTAATACACATTGCTATGTCGTTCGTCGTCAAGACTTGTCAACTTATCACAAGAATTGAAAAACATTTACCACTTTTAAACTTCTGATTTTAGATCTTTTTAAAAGAATGATAATTATTCGTTTTACTGGTAAACTGATAACATAATTAAGGAAAAATATCTTCATTAAATTCAATTTAAGCTAGTCAATAACACCAGGTATATACTTTTTCAGAAAGTTGAATAAAATTTCTAACGAGCAGCCTTTTAGAATAAACATGTGATATGTTTGCTACTGTTATGAATACCTATACAATAAAATTATATGGAAACAGTACATAGCTTTATTCACTACAGGTCCTGTATTTGTAGTGACAATTCAAACATTTATACAAACTCAAACGTAAAGAAATTTTCTAATAAAGTTCGGGAATGAAATGCCTCACTTCAATCGATACATTGAAAATACCTGCCATCTTTTCGAAGCCAAATTATTTTTCACTTCTGAAACTTTTTTCTTTTGTCTGTCTATTGATTGCTCTTCCCTCTGTCTTCTGTCTTTCCTTTGTCTGTCAGTCTGTCTGTCTTTCCTTTTGTTTGTCACCAAAAATATGAAATGATGAATTTTTCTACAGAATTCAAAGTGTTATTGCTTACTACAATGTATATATTGCAGTTGAGGTTGATACACCTGAAAGCTGACCCATTATCCAGGTAGACTAACACAATCTATATGATATACATGTATAGCTAGGAATTTAAGTCCCCAAGTAGTGAAACGAAAAGTAAACTTAAACTGAAGACAAGGTCAAAGTTATTAGTCTACGTGCTTCAAAGTCAGTTTACTTTCTATTTAAAGTCTCTAAGTAAATCTAAATAATTAATTTACTGTGAATACACAGACAATCCTGTCTCCAAGACACATCCAAACATCAACAACCACATTATACAAAGTGCCAGGTAACACAAATACTGTTGTCTTGGCCCTCTATAACTCGCACAGCTTATACTTTTAATAAATCGCTTCTCACAAACCTTTTTTCATGACAACCTCCCAAAAAATTTCTTGAAGTATCACAAAAAATATTCAGAATCTATTTTTTTTATCAAAATTTACCTGTTTATCAAAGCAACAGTTTAGAGCCTTAGAGCTTATAAATTGATAGATCTATAAGAATTTCAACTTTAATAAAAACTACAGTACCCATCAATGGCATCACTATACCTTGAACAATATATAGTGGACACATGAACGATTGACATACTAATTACACAGTTGTTGAATTGAAGTCTCGGTTCCCTAGAATCCAACCACTTAATCATTCACACCTGTGACAGAGTTCCAGTGACAGTGTTAACATTCAATTATTTATGTGCATGTCTGTGTTGAAGTTAGAGATCTATGGGATTAGCTCGTTGCCTAGACAGATCAACCACAAAACACATCTTGATACCAAAGGCCAGTTCTATAAATCACAATTGTTTAAGACTAACATAATTTGCTTGACAATGCGTAGAATGATGAATACATTTTGTTATCAGAGCCATGTTGTTGAAGCTTTCCTATACAATCAGAGGGTGTGCATGTAGCTCTATAAACCAACATATTGATTTTATTTTCATTTGGAATTTCATCAAGTTCACTTCAAAAAACATGTTTTGAAAATAAAATCTGTTAAACATAAGTACCTTCTGACCTAAACAATAGAAGATTCAAATCCTTTTCCAGTTTAACATTTTATCAGATAAAAGGAAGAATCTAAAATGACTGTTAAACAATGGAGAAGATGATAAAGAAACTTTTCCAGTATTGTAGGCCAAAAGGGTCATCATAGATCTGTCTTTCAGAGACTGGCATTACTGTTGTTTCTTAACAAACTGTTAAATGAGTGATCCATCTTATTTTTGTTTTCGAATATCAATGGATATTTTTGCTGGTAACCCAGTTTCGAGAACACAAGGACCAAATCATTACGTTCTTATAGATGCTAATTACAAGTGTTATCACAGTTGATTCCTTAAGATTTGAAATATAACAGAAAACATGCTGTGTTTCTCAGACAATAAGTCCATGTCTAGTAATAAGCCCACTAACTTTTTTTTCTGTTCAGTAGAATTACCAAAAATGTTCTGAAATATGCTCACCCTTCGTATGTTGTAGCTATAACGTACTGGCTGCCTAGGCTTATAACAAAACATAACTTTACAAGGACAAGTTATCTTTTCATAGACTTACTTGGTAATACTGCTGTCTGTATTGCTCCTGGTCAGGATACTGTCCATCATATGCGCCTGGGTAATACTGTGTTCCTACAGGACGGGCTCCACCTGTAGCTTGAGAACCATGCAGCACCTCTGCTGATACTTGTGGAATGCTCCGGGGGTCACCTCCTTCCCCCCGGGGACTCAGAACTTTGAGATTTATATCCACACTAATTCGTTGCCCATCTTCTGTCACTATTTCCTGTGTGACAGGCTTTAGGTCTAAAGCTTTAAATGTTTGTGGTGGCATAGCATGCCCTTCCATACGATCACTAGGCTTCGTTCTCGGTGGCTTGTTATCTAGCGGTTCCAAATAGTGGTTTCTAGTGGGAGTACCATACATATGAGCAGGTTGTCTCCCTTGGTTTTGCCCTTGACTATATAGAGGTTGACGAATGAGTCCATTTTCACTAGGGTACTTTTGCAGACCCCTGTTTTTCCTAAGACTTGTTCCTGAAGCTGTTTTAGACTTGGTGGTTTGTTTTGCGTCTTTCCTTTTTTCAAGAGCTACGGAGCGTTTTGCCCAGAGAGCCTCAGCCATGGATGCATTCTCACTTGGAATGTACTCCTCCGGCGGGGAATCTGGATGACCTTTGTTAGAGGTTACATTACGCGTTGTTTTTTTAATTCGAGGTTTTGGTGATACAAACACAGAGTCTAATTTACTCTCACCTTCCTTTTTCCTTTCCAATAAATAAGCATACGATTTTTCTGGAACTTTACCGTAATCCACCTTATTGTTTTCTACAAAGTCATATTTCAGAGGTGGCGGATTAACGAGTTCCATTCTCTCTGTTTCTTTCTCATCATAACCATAGGGAACATTTTGTTCATGGTAAGCCTGTTGTGGTGGTGGAGGAGGCGGGTTCTGCCAGGGATCTTCTAACGAGTCCTCCAGAGGCAGTTTGGGTATGACAAATTCCTCGTCTTGCTGAGCCTGTGTTCTGAGTCGCCTCTGAAGGTGTGCCTGGTATTCGGCTTCTTGTTTCATCAGTTGATCCTCCTCCTCCTCCTGTTCGTAGCCATTCTGTATTAGAGAGCGTGGCTGTCTGTAGTTATCGTTACGGTCATTGTACTGTTCAGGCTCATTTCTGCCCCTGTTTTGTTGGTCATCATATGGGTTTCTGTCATTGTATCTGTTACGATCATCAAAATGAGCAGGTTCCTGTCGACTATCACGGTACTGTGGAGGGTCATTTCTATCCTCCTGACCCCTATCACCACGATTATTGTAACTATTGTACTTATTACGACTATCGTACCTTTCATCTCGATTTCTGTCATCATACTGAGGCTGTTCATTTCTGTCCTCGTAACGATTATATCCTGTGTTCCTGTCTTCATATCGATCATTTTGACCTTGACCTGTATTGTTCTGGATCATGACTTTGTTTCTGTCTTCGTATCTGTTTTCCTGTCTTGCATCGCGCATGACCGGTGGAGGATCCCTAGGGCCACCCTGGTTGTCTCCCCCTCCTTGTACAACCCGAGAGTAGCCCCTATTGTGGGCCTGTTGACTATACTGAGGATCATGACCTTGTGCTCTTTGACCTTGATTATTGTTGCGACTGTATTGGTCAGATACTGGAGCCCCAGGACCATCACTGTCTTTTCTACTATATTGACCCCCTTGTGGAGCCCTCTGATCTCCACTCTCTTTCCTTACATAAGGTTTGTAATCTTCCCTATATTGGGGCTCTGGAGGGGGGCGGCTGTATTGACTATTATATGCATCTCCTCCATAAGTATCTCTTGCATACCCTGGATGACCACCCTGAACAGGTGGAGCTTGTGTTGTCGCTGCCATGAATTCACTTTTCTTTTTATCGTCGATATCCAATTTTCTAAATGTTTCCTCTAGATCATCGTGTCCGTCATCCAGACGACTTTCCACAAATCGATACTGATCTTCCTCTTCTTGGGTAAATGTTGGTGAATCAACATACACACGTTTCACTGTTGGTAACGTCGTATTTGCAGCGTTGGCGCTCTTATGTTCCTGAATGACTGGTGATGGGGAGTGCTCGTGACGCTGTGGTAATATTGAAGCCGGTTTAGGTGTCTCGGTGTCAGACTGATCGTCAGAATCCCACTCTTTAATTGGAGGAGAAGTGTCACGATGGGTAGTTACTTGGTCAGGCTTTAAAGGTGAGCGAGGATGGGGTGTTGGAACACGTTCCTTCAAGTAGTTACTCTGAGCACGAGTCTGTTCCTCGTCACTATCGCTATTATCGCTTTTATTTTGGGGTTCTGGATGAAAAGAAACTACACTGCGGCCACTTTTACGTCCAGAAGTGGCTGAGTTTACTTTGGCGTTGTTGTGGACTGAATCCACACGTGCCCTTGACTGGGGTTTAGAGGAGTTTCGACCACTAGCTGGAGTCCTAACACTATTAGTAATATCTTCACGTCCTCTACCTGAGGCAGGTTTTAAACTAACATGAGTATCCTCGCGTCCTCTCACAGAGGAAGGTTTAACACTATGCTCAGTATCCTCGCGTCCACTCACAGAGGAAGGTTTAACACGATGCTCAGTATCCTCGCGTTTCGTAAACGGTTTTGGATTATCACTCTGAGTTTTCTTCTGTTCGATTATAGATTGTGGTTTAGCACTGCCGCGTGTGTTTTCACGATGTTGAACTGCTTGCTCTGCACGAGGTGTAAACTTTGCGTTTTGTGTTCCCTCCCGTGGGGTGTCTCCTTGTGCAGCGAGAATGGCAGGATTAGCAACTGCGTATACACTACTCGTACTACGTCTGGTGGTTGGTTCTTCAGTCCTAGCAGTGGTCTGGGGAATTCTACTTTTGGCAGAATCTGGTACCCCAGAGCTAGGTTTCGGTGTAGGTACTCCACGTGAAAGTTCCGAGTCTGGACGCACAAGACTTTGTGCGTTTGGGTTGTCTTTAAGTCTAGAATGAACAGATGCTGAATTTATATTGGGTACTTTGTTTGATTTTGGAGATTCTACTTCGTAAGTTTTCCGCCCTGTGATTGGTGAATTCTGCCCGGAGTTGGAATCTAAACTGTCTTTTAAGTTTTGAGACTGCTCAATGTCAAGACTGTCCTGTATATATTGGGATGCCTCTAAGCTGTCCTTAACATCAGATCTTCTGGTTGACGGTTGTTCTTGACCCTCTGACCTCTGTGTCAAAGCAGGGTTATGACCTCCCGGTGTGACCCCGTGGTCTGGACTGTGTGGAGAAATATAATTGAAGAGATTAGTTTTTGTGTCAGATCTGACTGTATACCCAGCACCAGTGGTTACCTCAACAGCATGCAATGTTTCAGTACCTTTCACACTTTCTACTCTATGCGTTTGGACAGAAGCAGGGGAAGGGTTAAGGTTAGAGGGAACATGCACATCTACATCATGCAAGCACTTGTCATGCAGGGTGTCTGTCACTATTACAGAGCTACGAATACGTGCAGGTGTTACAAGTTCTTGTGAATAGTCCTCGTTCAACAACGAGCTATCTACCCGTGACAACAATGAATCGGATGTTCTCTCCTTTTCCTTCTGTAGATTCAGTTCGGGAATTACATGAGCCCGACTTTCGTTTTCTACTAGAGATATATTTAGCTCTGGAAAACTTGTCACAGCAGGTTGATCACAGGTTGCATCAAGCTCAGCTACAGAATTTCTACTTTTAAGTTCATCTTTGTTAACCTCATTTAATTTTTTCTCTCCGTCACCATCAGCTATTCTATGAGAATCAACTACATGTGGGTCCCTGCCATGGGTCCCATTGTTCTGCACAGTGACAGCACTATCGAGTTGCGTAGAAACAGGATTAGTAGAAGCTGGGTTATCAGGTAAGTTACTAGAATTGTCCAAGCAACTTGAGTTTGTTATTACACACCTGGTACCACCTGCCGCGGGTCTAGTGGTTGTACCAATACTACTATCCCCAGTCCGCTCCCGTAACAACTGAAGCAGAGCCGGGTTTTCCGTCACAATTCGTCCAGATGCAGATGAGTGTACACTACGTGGCTTGGTGCTACCACTCATATTACCTGAAGGCTTGTTCCATGATGGAACAGCTGTGGGACCCAAATCCTCAGGCAGGTATGGCGATCGCGGGCGTTAAGCGCAGCATAACACAGAGTCTTGGTAGTCTGAAAGTTACAGAGACAGAAAGTGAGAGGAGAGGAAAAAGCAAAGAAATCTATAACCAACCACAAGCTGCTGATTCCTTTATCAAACCTAATGTCATATTCTTAAAAATAAACAATTTCAAAACTCTAATCCTGTCCTTTGTAATTTGTCACTAAGTCTTAAATCTTGGGTACTTTTTTTTCTCACCAGATATTAGATTTATCTATTTATGTTTATTTTATTTTTCATCTTTATAAGGATGAAGTTAATTTTTTTTATAGTAATGGCCAATATCTCAAAAAACTGAGTGTACACTCCTATTTTACTTGTTTTATGAATCGATAACATACAAAAAATACTGTATGTTAATCCTAATTGTTCACTCACAGATTGCAGTATTTTTTCACTTATAATGGACTCTTTTATTCTATAATTTCTTAAACAGCGACATTGACCAATCAAATGTGATGTTACAAAATTGTCAATTTGTTTATGTCAGGGGAGTGATATTATAAAAAATGACCAATGAAAATACTTGTTCCATGGGAGTTTGAAATATACAATTTTGCTATTACTGATAAGTTTATTACAGGACATTTTTTCTTATGAATTTGATTTTATTGCCAAATTGGGTTTTTTTAGGTTTTTTTTTTTCTTCTTTTTTTCTCTCTATTATTTTTGTACTGTAAGTCAGATTTTGTCAGATATAATTATATGCCAGAAATTTGGTCAATTTTTGATTGGAAGGTCAAACAATGAGCATGTATTAACAAAAAGCAGTTACATGAAATGAGAAACAGAGAACAAGCATAAGGCTATAAGGTATATAACAACAATGTTACTTTGTGCTCTAATACAAAGTTCTATCTCACACTACACACTAAAACCTGCACCACAAAAACATTAGTCATATATTGTGTACAAATGTCTAAGACAGTTATCACTTCAGAATCCTTACTCTATTTTGATTTCTTATTTGAAATTTTCCTTTTTTCACTTAATTTTTTTTCTTTTTATTTATTTTATCAAATTTTTTTGGTTTTGTTTGTATTTTTTTTTCATTATTGTGAAATAAATTTGGAACTAAAGGCAAACTAATCTGATAATTAAAAATATCAAGATTTTTAAGCGAAGAAATAAAAATATGTTATCAATGGTAAAATGATTATTTCTGTGAATAAAACATCATGTCAGATAGTTTCAAATATTTATACAAAAGATAAAACTAAACACTCGTTAACTGAATAGTTGTCCTTAAGTTTTAAAATCTTCATGATCTATAAATCAAGAAAAAGAAACACAGAGGAGTTATCTACTATTAATAGTATATATATAGATATGTTAAGGAAATAAATCTGTATGTGTTAAACTGTGGCCTTACCATCATCCAACGATTGGTTGGCATGATAACATATCTATAAACTGTAATTAAAGTTACAAGGCGATACACAAATATATATAACAAGCAATTTTAGGGATTGAACCACACACCTTAAGTATTTGATAAACTAACACATAAAAAATTCAATACAATATCAATTTGTCAACATTTATTGGTAAAACTTTTAAATAGCACAAGTCATGAAGATCTTTTTTGATGCCAGACTTCAAGTTTTCCTCATGCAATTTGTTTATATATAGTTTATGAACAAATGTTAAAATACTGATATGATTCAATTTTCTCAAATGAGTAAATCCTTGATTTTCTAATTGGATGTCTCCAAACAGTAATTTTGCACATTGTAGCATTTGCACTCTTATCATTACGGCATTACAATCCTAGTCCTGCAGATCTGAGGTGTGTGGTTTGATCCCTGTTCTGGGCAGTTTGCATATGTGAGGAAGCCAACATCATTGACTGTACTGTGCTAAAGTATTAGTGTCCTTGGGCAAGACATTTTGCCCAAATTCGCTCTGAAATACATAGGATAGGCCTTCAGCATGATGTTCCATGAGGTTCTTACCAGTTACTACAAGAAGAACTTAACACAAAGTGACCCTGATTGTTCATGCCGGGTGTCATTGATGCATTGATGGTGTAGGTGGTGCCATGACAAAGTCCTGCATGAGTTGACAAAGTTCTGGAGATAGAAGGGAGAAAGAAGTGGCTCAAGACAAAAACAGGAGAAGAAAAGTTCTTCATGAAGTAAAGTGAATCAACTGAGGGACTGAGTAAGGGACAGGGTGCTGAAAGTGGAAATTTGTATTCCCATCCATTATGGACCCAACGCTCCAGCCTGACATGGTCCTAAAATCAACACGGTCAAAAACACTCATTGTAGTGGAGCTGACAGTGCCATGGAAGGAGAACTGTGAGGAGGCAAACAAGAGAAAGAGTTTCGAGAACACAGACTTAGAAATAGCCTGCATGGAAAGGGGAAGGAGTGTAGTGCTGTTTCCAGTCAAGGTCGACTGAAGAGGATTTACAGCACAGTCAGTAAGTAAGCTCTTCAAACAACTAGGAATGTTGGGAAAGACAAAAGTGACAGCTTTGCTGAAACTGGGTGAAACAGCAGAAAACACATCATGCTGGATATGACACGTCACAATTACAGATGCTGGAAGCCGGGATCCATCCAGTAATGATTGGCCACCACTACTGACCTACCAACTGGAGGATACATGGTTCAGGGTTGAAACATACGAGGAGAGTTGGCAACCACCTGATTATGAAGGAAACCGGCAATTGATCATGAAGGGACAGAAGTGTCCAGGCATGTACAGAGGATGCCAGGAGTACAAGCAGAATAAGAACATCTGTGAGTCAACATTGTACTCCGCTCAAGAGTGAAGGGACAACGATAGGATTCAAAAGATTATCTCATCATTTAACCTCAACTGAAGCGATGATCGAATGCAACATTTACTCATTGAACATCTGTATCTACATATTTTTTAATGTTTTTGAGAAATCGAAATTCACACTATGCATAATATAGAATCATATTGTCAATGTATATTTTTATGTTAATTCTAGATAAGTGAGGTATTTTGTTTTAAAGTTACAATAAATGAAAATATTACTGCATCAGAAAAGCATCTGTTTTGTGTGAAACACAAAGTCATTTGATTGTAAATTCAAACAACTATATCAGAAAGCTTATCCAATACCAGTAAACAATAATAATCGATTACTGATTTGATCCAATTTCCAAACACTTCACCTCTCAGCCATTCCTTTTCATCATGCAGAATTTTACAGATTTTACCAAGTATGTTCAGAACATCATTTTGGATTATTTTCCAAAAATTTCGCAAGTCTCAATACAAAAAGGCATTGTGGATTCTCAAAACTTTGGCCGGTTCCAAAGAAAAGGATATGTCCATGTTTCTGAGTCCTAAGTACCACTGTTCTAACAGTCCTAAGTTCCACTGTTATAACAGTCGTAACAGTCCTAAGTTCCACTATTATAACAGTCCTAAGTTCCACTGTTATAACAGTCCTAAGTTCCACTGTTATAACAGTCCTAAGTTCCACTGTTATAATAATCAATTTGTAGATAAAAACAGAGGCAGCATCTCAGTTTCAAATTCTTGCTGTGCCACCTTGGCTTCAGATCTAAATGTTATTATTGATCAAATTTGTATGCATAGGTTTTGGTGGACTAGAATACATATGATTATGATAATGATAAATGTGCATGTAAAATAACAAATCAGGTGATTAGTGTCGGGATTCTGTAATGTTATTAAGTATTAGATCATAAAAAATCTAGTCACTGGATTGCCGTTTCGGATGTCACATTTCTACTGATGCCTTCTTATTACAGTACAGTGTAAATGTTGAGTGTCAAGCAAAATCCCAAATTTATTATAGAACCTCGAAATTTCATAATTCTCAGAAATTTATTATAAATGTCGTTGCTGCCGTCAATGGCATGGCTGGAGGTAAAAACAAAACAAACCTCAATCGGGTCATCATGTCATTCCCTGATCAGACTGTCAGACTCATTACAAACGCGAGTTCTGTGGTCAAGTTTCAGATGTATACTGTATAAACCCACCTACCAATATATTATATAAAGGAATGAATGTCAGAGAGATTGACTGCAGGCACAAAATCTAAAATTAGTAAGAAACACGGGGCACCGTGCCAAGCGACACCTCGTCGGCGAAAAATTGTTTGTGAACACCAATTCAGGACTTCGTTCCGAAGAAAATAGACCCAATATTTTAACGTTGCACCGTCATTTGGTTCGGCTTTTAAGCAACACTCCCTCACCTGATATAATACGATTCCAGCTTTGGTGTAACGAGATCTCCAAGGTTTTTACTTCACCGTTACATTAACACTACAACATGGCGAGACACTGAAATCAATCCCACAATTCCATTCGATATTTACATGTCGCCATAGTGACTTTCCAATGCAGGGACAGGTAACTCTTCCATAACTAGATTATAGGTATCGATACACAAATTAAAAGTCCATCAACTTTAGTGTCAACAAATGGCATATACAGCAGGCTGAGATAGGCACCATCCATGCACTAATTTGTGTTGTTAAAAAAAAAGATACAAAATCCACAGATTGTAAATAAAGGAAAACCCAGAAAACAAATGAGTTACGTGATGAAATAATGTACAAATGACACATGAAGGGTCTATCATTCTTGTACTGATTGAAACGAGTTTCCTATACATAGACTCGTCTTACGTGATTGAAAAAAACGAAAACCACAAAAGAAACGCCGACATTGTCAACACAGACACAGTTTCAAAAAAATCGATGAAATTAGGACAAAAATATTAGCAAGAAATATATATTTTTAATTTAACTTACACGAAGAGCAATGAAAAAAGTACAAGCAAAATAAGAAGAAATGTTTCAAACAGATGCTTTATCGATGACAACCGTCATGTAAACATTGGTTAATACCTAATTTGTCAAAACATCAATATAACAGTCGCTT